CTGAACTCCCTTATCATTTTAGTCTTGTAAGTGGAGCATGTCGTAAACTAATACCATAAGTGGAAAATTTTCGTTGTTTTAGTCCTCCGGCGCTAGAGACGCTCGGGTGGCTCGCCGGAATCTACGTATCCGTCAGGTGTCCCGCCAGGTCAGCGACATCTGGCGGACACGTGAATTTTATTTTATTTATTTTATTTTTTAATTATTTTTTCAGTTGGATCAAATAAAAAAATTTAAAAAAATAAATAAATAATAAATTAGACATAAATTAAAAATAAATTTAAAAAAAATAAATAAAATAAATAAATAAAATCTGCAGGTCAGCGATACCTGGCGGATACGTAGCCTCCGGCGAGCCACGCGGGCGTCTACGGCGCCGGAGGATTAAAACAGCGAAAATCTTTTACTTATGAAATTAATTTGCAACAGGCTCCACTTACGGAACTAAAATAATAAGGAGGTCAAATTACGGAACTAAAAAACAATCTACCCTATTTTTTATTTTTTCTTATGTAATATTTTTTTAAAAAAAATATCATCGCCAAAATATACGAACGTACTCTTCGTCTAAATCACCACATATATATTATATAAAATGAAAATAAAATATGGTATGAGGTATCCATGGAAGACTCTAGATGATGATCTTAGAACTTCCAAGGTCAAATTTTAATTAATTAATTAATTAATTAATAGGTTCCACTTGGACGTTTAACCGACCTCACACGCCCATTCACCACTTCCTTTAATTTTTTATTTTATTATCAAATTATTTAGCCCATTAAATATCACCGCCGTCACATTAATTAATAATAATATCAACACTACAGCAAATTTTCTATGATTATTATTAAATATATATATATATTTTTTATAAAATAAATAAATATAGTCATAATTTTTTTTTATGGTTTATTCGGTTATAATATATATGATCAATATATAATAAAGTTTCTGATATATTTAATAGTCTCATTTATTTATTGTGTGTTGATATTTAAATATTAAATATTATATCAAACATAATATAAATTAAGAAAAATTACAAAATTAACGTCAATTAGTATTTTAATATTAATAGAATGATATTTGTATACAAAATTATACAAATATAATAATATTTTTAAGGGTAAACTGTTTTTCTTTTTAGTCCTATAACTGGACCCCCTTGTCATTTTAGTCCCGTAAGTGGAGCCTGTCGCAAACTAGTCTCATAAGTGAAAAATTTTCGCTGTTTTAGTCCTCCGGCGCCGGAGATGCCCGCGTGGCTCGCCGGATGTGACGTGTCCGCCAGGTGTCGCTGACCTGGCGGACAAGTGGATTTTTTTTTTTCATTTTTTTAAAACTTATTTTTAATTTATTTTAAATTTTATTTGTATTTTTTTATTTTTTTATTTGGTCCAATTAAAAAAATGAAAAAAAATAAATCCACGTGTCCGCAGGTTGGCGGGACACCTGGCGGACACGTCACCTCCGGCGAGCCATGCGGGCGTCTCCAGCGCCGGAGGACTAAAATAGCAAAAAAATTTTACTTATGGGACTAGTTTGCGACAGGCTCCACTTACAGAACTAAAATGATAAAGAGGTTCAGTTACGAGACTAAAAAAATAGTTTATTCTATTTTTAATATTACGTACAATAACGTAAAAGATAAATGTTATATTTAGAGATGGACGGATGGAGTATTTAGTTTAAAAGTGAGTCCCAATTAATAAAAATAATTTAAAAAATTATGAGTATTGTATTAATCTGTCACTCCAACTTGTAGAACATAATTATAAAAATACAATATATAATGTACAATATGCACACACAATAATTAATCAATAAAAAACAAATATATATTATTTTCTATAGTATTTTTTCAATTTTCTGTATTTCACAATAAAATAATATCTAAAATTAGAAAAACTAAAAAGGGATTGTCTTGTGAAAATTTTTTTAATTTTTAAAAATGAATTTCTCCTAGCTCTATTATTATTATTTTTTATTTATTTATTTTTTATGACGTAGGAATCCGCAGCCGCTACCCGAAAGTGTGCACTGGGGTCACATTTAGTTTTTGCGTAATTTTTTTTTGTATAAATGTCATTCTATTAGTATTATAAACCACTAATTGAAGTATTTTTGTAATTTTTTCTTAATTTGTATTACGTTTTGATATAATAATTAATATTCAAATATAAATATGTAAAAAATAAATAAGACTTTTAGAGCCGGACAATGATATAATGTAATAGTTCATATATCACATGGTACGATTAATCTTTGTAATTAACTCAATAAAGGTATATATATTATTAATTGACAATATATAATAATAATTCACATATTAAAAATAAAGGTATTATATTGGATTGTAGTAAAAAAATATAAAAATACCCCTATTAGTATGGTGTAATATAAAAGTAATAACATTTGTGTAATATATTGTAAGTTGAAAGGGTATTTATTATGTTAAATAGGTAGTACAATTACTAAATTAGGAAATAATAACCTTATTTTAGGATTGACGAAAATAGAAAATGGTAACATTTCAATGAGACGGAGGAATAAATTTATTTATTTATTTTCTCAAAAATTATGTTATTATTTTTTATTATCTGTTAACCTTATGTACACTCTATTTATAGTCAAATTTTTTATTTATTCATAATTTTATTGTTTCTCCTTAGAACAAATAGTAATAATTTACTACTATTGTTCTATTTTTTTTTAATCGATTTTTTAGTAAAATTTTCAAAATATTTTTATTTTAGTTTTTAGTCACTTTATTTTAAGATTATAATATTACTATTTCCTAGTATTCATAAAAAATCAAACTTAAATAATTTTTCAGAACAACAAAAATATACTTTATTGAAATAAAATTAATAGTTAAAAAGTACTTGTACATTTGTACTAACAAAAATATCTTAAACCACTATAGATAAAAATGAATAAAGTAAGAAAGCGAAGTCAAAACACAAGACTTATCTTTTATTTTTAAATACTCATTTTTTGGTTATATCTTTAAAAAAATATAATTTTTTTTTTTCACAAATATATAAAAAATAATAAAATTATTTTACTCAAATAATATCATAATTTCCAAAATACTTTTACAATTTATCATAATTAATACTCACTCCGTCCCATAACTATAGTTTGGGTTGTGTTTGACACGAGATTTAAAGAATATTGATATTATATCGATAGTGGGTAAAAAGTACGGGTAAATGACTTTTTTGCCCTTGTGAGTGTATCAGTGTAAAAAGTAGTGGCAATTGTGTAATAATAATGAAAAAATATGGATAGTTTTACAGTGATATAATTATTTATGAAAATGAGACTATTGTTTTGGGACGATAAAAAATGGTACAAGACTATTGTATTGGAACGGAGGGAGTAGTATAATAAATAAAAACATTTTTGGTGGATGAAGGAAGTGCGAGCTTGTTTGTTTTGTGAAAATTTCTTGACATATTTATTTAAAAAAATTAATATATGACATATATCCGTTACTTTTATATTATTTATACAATCTTATATACTTCACACACAAAAAAAAAAAAAAAAATCACCTTCAAACTAAAACACATTCTTTTCCATAAAATCTTCAATATATTTTTCAAAAAAATTAATATATTATATAAACTTATTATTTTTATATTATTTACGTAATTTTCTGTATCTCATACCAATTTTATTTTCAAACTAAAACACAAAACAAACACACCCGTACAATTTTTTAAAACACCGAAATAACACATCATATCATGTTCTTTGGACTTTAGTTTCAATTTTTATACGACTATTTATTATAATTAAAATAGCTTTTCTATTATAAAAAATATGTTCATTTTTTTATATCGATTCTAAAAAAAAATAATTTTATTTTATTTTTTAACATGAATATTATATACCCTTTTTTCCATAACTATATATTCATTTGCTTTTTGCACGGAGTTTTAGAAATATTAGTATTATATTGAGATTTTATAGGAATATAATCGAAATGACTAAAATGACCTTATTAGTATTGTGTGATATAAAAGTAATGATATTTGTGTAATATATTAAAAGTTGTAAAGGTATTTATAATATTAAATAAATAGTACTTTATCATGAGACATACCAAAATAAAAAATGGATACTTAAAACGAAAAAATATATATCACATTAAAAGCCATACTCATATCAAATGAATTTACTTTTACCTAACTAAAAAAACAATATTTTATTTTATTTTAAACAAAAAAATTATATTATTTTTTAATCTTTTTAATACTATTTTTTACCATAGTATTTTTTATGTTTTTTTTTTCATTTTTTTTATTTTTTTACTATAAAATTATAAAAAAAAAAAAGAAAGAAAAAATATATACCACATTAAAAGCCATACTCATATCAAATGAATTTATTTTATTTTTTACAAAATATTATATTGAAACTTGTATTTAAAAGACATCCACAGCCACTAGGATTATTAAAATATACCAATCATGGCAATGGTGCATGGGATGGGGTTTCTAATCTCGTCTCCTTTGTTAAATACTCCCACCGTGCCATGGCTGCTCACATCGTAGACACGGTAGTTTAGGAGGGATATAATTAATAGATAATTAAAAATATATTAGTGAAAATAATTATCCTATAATATAAATAATTATAAATTAAAATTAAAATAACTAATTAGTTTAATTAAAATTAAAAAATAAATAAATTAAAAAATTTAAAATAAGATTAAAATGTGTAATCATTTTAAAAAAAATAACATGAAACGTGGGACATATATAAACAACAACATGGATAAGGTACGTGGGACGGACGGAGTATAATAATTACAAACATTTATTTATTTATTATTATTATTATTTAATTTATTATTATTATTATCACATCCAACTCTTCGTCAACGGTCATCTTTTCTTCTTCTTCTTCTAATTATTAATTTTTTAATTATTTTAAACTTTTATTGCGAAAATCGGTCAGAAGGTAATATTTAATTTACAGGAGGATCGGCAATGGGAGCTGAGAGCTGACAGCGACATGGCAGCTTGTTTTGTAGCATCTTTTCATTCATGGAGTTGGTTGGTGCGGTGCGCTGATCCTTCGAGTTTTCAAACATATGGTGCTGCTTGTGATTGTCAAGCTGAAAGTGACCACAAATGGTGAGGGCCATCGGGAATTTTATGTGCAACTTGGTCTGATCAGTCGACGCCGAGTGGATGGATGTCTCTGGCCATTACTTTTTTGTTTATTTGTTTCTCCCCTTTTTTCTCCAATTCTGTCCTTTTTCGCTTTGTCCATTGGTGCGAATCTGCGATGTATGTGAGCGCCTAACAGTTGTTTTAGATCCTAATTTGTGTGCTGTCTCGCTGGCGATGAGCTGCTGCTGCTGCTGCTGATAGGGTTTGATTGTTTATATATAGGTTTGATTTTTTTTGAGGAATTGATTTCGTGAGGAGGATAGGATGAAGGCGCGGAGAGGAAAGCGTCCTGAGGTAATTCGCTAATTGATTCGAGTGGTTGATTTAATGTTGCTTTGGTAATGCCTTTCAACTGTTCGACGAATTGCCTGAACTGATGATTATGTGTTTTTTCGTGTCTGTTTGTTGAAATGGATTGTTGATCAGCCTTTTTGGCCGTCGATTGTGATGAAGAAATGGCTGAATATTCAGCCGAAGTTTAACGACTTTAGCGAGGACGAGGTCGACACCGAGAGCGAGGATGATGGTATGTATGTATATATGCACATACATATATATTTATATAGATGTATGTAGGTATATTGGTTTGGTTTGATCTGTAGATTGCCGCCTTGAATTTGAATTTTCGAATTTTTCACTATTCGATTTGAGGAACTATGCATATTTAGGATGTGTTTTCTCAGCCGATTTCTATGTTTTTGAGTTCGATTTTCGCCTAACGCCATGATCGCTGCTTGGTTTAGCTTTCTCGCCTCGGCATCGAGCCTTGCAACATGATCACGTCTGCGAAACGCTCGGATTTCAAACTGATGGAGGTATGTGTAATAAATCCCTGTTTTTCAATTGCTGATACGTTGTGTTTTTCGTTTGTTCCAAAAACTAAGCTTTCATCGATTCTCAAGAACTTTTTTTGTCGAACTTCAAGAGAACTTAATATGTCAAACCTTTAGAATCTCTTAGCATAATCAATATATGTATGGATTAATTTATAAGTAGGAAAGAGATGTTCGATTTTACGACAGACTGTTTTTTGGGACACAAATAGTTACTTAACATGTCGAGGCGATTTCAGAAATTTGTATTTATTTGCTATATTAGACATGAAGAAGTTTCACGATAAAATGAATCATTAGTCGCGTAATTTAGTATCGTTTTTTGGATTGAGAATTTGTTGTTCTTGAATTTCACCGAATCTCTGCAGCTTAAAATTTAAAAAAAAAATGAAATTTTTTGCCTCTTATCTCATGTTGATGCATGCAAATGTAATAATCCAGGGAAGCCTCATAATGATTATTCGGTAAAACACCGGAGAGGAAAATCGGAAACTTTGCGACTTCAGTACATTAGTACAAAAGAAGTGAGGTTTGGCTCAGTAAGAAGTCATGATTTTAATTTTATTTTTTGTTTTACTTAGTAATATGATTATTCTTCGGCTAATCGATCTTTAGGATTCATTCGATTGGTTTTATCTTCTAAGTTCGATATTTTGATTCTTCTATTCTTCGTCGTGCGCAGAATAGCAATATGTACTTGGAATGTTGCTGGAAGACCGCCTATGGATAATCTTGAAATCGACGAATGGCTATCTACTCAAGAGCCAGCAGATATGTACATTCTCGGGTAAGTTTTAAGATCGAAATTAGTCGAATGACCACTTTCATTTGATGGGAGGATGCGTCGCATTCGATTGGAGATGATTTGATCTTTATGAAAGTGTAGATGATAAGGACATTAGAAGAATAAAATTTTGGTTACTCTTCTAGAATTAGTCGGAGGCAGACTTTTGATTTATTTCGAAAATCGTTTGGTCAAATTTTTGAACTTATACTTTTGAGATCAGTTGATAATGATTCGGATTCAATGTCCAGAAAAGCTCTGCTTTCAGTTTTAGTGAACTTAGGCATAACTTGAAGCTCTTAATACTATCGTATGATCCGATGTTTATGTAATATGTAGCAACATGGCCTAAATATGTCGTCTAGCTCTGTAAATGGGTCGAAGATGATAAGAGCCACGCAATTTTGTGGAACCAAGTTAAAAATACTCATCTAGATCATTTCATACAAGCATTATATGCAATTATAAAGCTCGATTATACTATCCGGGAGAGATTTTCTCAATGTTTACCTTATGCGGCCCGGAACACATTTTAGCTGCCATTGGATACTTGAAGCTGTTCAAAACTCTCAGATTCTGATGTTTCTCGCAGGTTTCAAGAAGTTGTTCCTTTGAATGCCGGAAATGTACTCGGAGCTGAAAATCGAAGCCGTATCCCGAGATGGGAGTCTCTCATCCGCAGGACGTTGAACAAGTCGCTCGAGCCCGAAAATAAACATAAGAGCTACAGTGCCCCACCGTCTCCGGTTTTAAGGACTTCCTCGGCTTCGGATGTGCTGGCCGACGTTGCAGACGCTCCCATGCTCAATATAATCAGCGAAAATCCGATAGCGACGTTAATCGAAAACGATCCCGAGATAACCGGAATCACGACAAACATCACGCTGAAAAGAATGCTGAACGCAGACTGGAAAACTAAGCTCGACTGGCCCGAACAATCGTTGGACGCAACCTCTCAAGTTCTATCGTCGCAATCCAAATTACGACGAGTTCTGAGCAGTTCTGCGAGAATCGGTTCGACTTTGACGAGCACCCCTCAAATTATCCCGTTAGGCGGCTCCGGGTTAAGAAGAATGCACCGTAGTTTCGAAGACCTCGGACTGATCTCCGCCGGTGACGACCATGAAGTTCTCGATTCGTTATCCGATGAATTGAATCGAATCTCCGGAGAAGAAGACGACGATGAAAAAGCAGAAGCAGAAACAGAAGAAGGCGATTCTTTCGAAGAAATGATCGAATTCAAAAACGAAAATGCTGAACCGTATCACACGGCCAAGTCCCGTCCGATGTACGTAAGGATTGTGAGCAAGCAGATGGTCGGGATTTACGTTTCGATTTGGGTCCGGAGGACGTTACGGCGGCACATTAACAACCTGAAAGTCTCGCCCGTCGGAATCGGACTCATGGGCTATATGGGCAACAAGGTAGTCGTCGAAGTTCGATTATTTTCGTTCGTTAAATTAACGCTGTCGCTTGACGGTTTTGATCCACGCTCGATTTCTTCGCAGGGATCGGTTTCCGTTAGCATGACGCTTTTCCAGAGCCGGATGTGCTTTGTTTGTTCGCACCTAACGTCGGGGCAAAAATGCGGGGCGGAGCAGAGGCGCAACGCCGACGTTCTCGAAATTATACGACGAACACACTTCTCGTCTGCCTTCGACATCGATCAACCCCTAACGATCCCCTCTCACGAGTGAGTATACAATCTAAATTTCCGTCATTCTCGACTCTTACCGTGATCGCAACGATTGATAATCGCTATGTTTACGCGAAACAGCCAAATATTCTGGTTCGGCGATTTGAATTATCGAATCAGCTTACCGGATGCGGAGGTACGGAACTTCGTTGAGAAGAAGCGTTGGGCCGAGCTTCTCAACCACGACCAAGTATGCGTCGATAAATCGAACGTTTTTCGGTAAATTTTAACGCGGGTAATTTAACGTCGCGATTTTTCTATGCGCAGTTAAGCAAAGAGCTTCGCAACGGTCGTGTATTCTACGGATGGAGAGAAGGGTCGATAAATTTCGCGCCGACGTACAAGTATGAGATCGATTCGGATCGATACGTCGGAGAGAATCCGAGAGAAGGTGAAAAGAAGCGATCCCCGGCGTGGTGAGATTCAACTGACGATCGAACGCTCGTATGCTGTCGATTTTTGTTTCGATTTTGTCGAATTGGCGATAAATTGATAATTAATTGTTGTGACGCAGGTGCGACCGTATACTTTGGTTCGGGAAAGGGATCAAACAGCAGTTTTACAAGCGAGCCGAGGTGCGGCTTTCGGATCATCGACCCGTTAGCTCGTTGTTCTCGGTTGAAGTCGAGATTTTTAATCAACGAAAGCTCGAAAAGGCGCTTAACTTTTCGAAAGCGGCCGTATATCCGGAGGTATTTACGGACGACGACGACGGGGTGGAGGAGTATCTTCTTTAGAATGTCGTTTTAGTTGTGTTTGATTTTAGTCGATGTGATAGATTATCATGTATCGTATTTGAATCGAAAATTTTGCGAGCTTTTTTCGCAAAGTAAATAGTAGAAATGAATGAAAATAGGAAGAATTTTGTCAAATTTCATTGATAGATTTTTCTATAGTTCTCTTTTGAAGAAATTGAATTATAATACTTCCTCCCACTTATAAGTCCCCCCGCTACCGTAGATAAAAAATACAAAAATTTAAGTAAAATATAATGAATAAATAATTAATAAATATATTAATAAAAATATTTATTATATAATAAAAATAATTATAAGTAAAAATTAAAATAATTAAATAATTTAATTAAATTTTAAAGAAAATTAATAAAAATGTATAATTATATTTTCTAAAACAAAGACAAATGATATACGAAATAAAAAATATAAACATTTTATTGGGACGGAGGAAGTATTATTATTACATTACGATACCCTTATTTTATACAATCATCAATCAATATCTATATATTAAATGAATTTGCAGTAAAATTTAATTAAATAATATTTTATCCGTTCAAATCATATGTATCTATCTGAATTTTGTACATAAATTTAGATATATATTAATATTTCATTTGTCAAATTTCAAATGAAGCACTTGTTTGTTTTTTTAATGGATTAAAAAAATATATTTTATTAACTAATAAAAATATATAAAATAATTTGACATTTTCCTTTTACAAAACAAATAAAGTAATTATATTTTTGAAATTTGCCTAAAAGTAAAAATATTTTGTTATTTGTATGTAAGTGCTTTTACTATATTAAAAAAGAGATATTTCAAAAAGTATTTGAGTTTAGACAAATATTTTATATAAAGATTAAAAAAAAATGAATCTATTTTTTAATATTGTATAAAATGTAAAGATATATTTTTATTACAGTTAAAAGTTATTTTTTTAAAAAAAAAAAAATATATATATATATATATATATATACAATTGAATTTGACATAATTAAACACCCCCCCTTAAGACTACTGTGTTTATTTGTTTAGTGTATCAGTTTATAAGTTTTTTTTTTACTAGGTATAGAAAATTATTGGTAATATATAAAAATACTTCATCCGTCCCAATTCAAAACACTATAGTTTTTTTTTATAATTTTCATCAAATCTCATTTAATTTTTTTTTAATTTTAATAAAAACAATTATACATTAAAACCAAAATATCCTTTTAATTTTTTCTTAAATTACAAATATATAATTATACATACAAATACTTTATAATAAAAATATCGAAACTTTTTATACATCTCTACTAATCAATAAAATACTACTCCCTCCGTCTCACATAATTTGTACATATATTTAATTTTCGTCTGTCCCATATATTGTCTTTTATTTTTTTGAAATATGATTATACACTTTAATCATATTTTAAATTTTATAATTTTTTTTAATCTTAATTAAATTATTTAGTTATTTTCATTTTACTCTATAATTATTTTTACTAATACATCTCTTAATTACTTATTAATTATATTTTACCGAAATTTTCGTATCTACGATAATAAGCCTATATTACATGGGACGGAGAGAGTATTATTATTTTTTAACGTAATACTACATCGGTCTGGCTCTAAGAGTCTCATTTATTTTTTTCCGTGTTCATCTTTGAATATTAATTATTATATCAAAAAGTAATACAAATTAAAAAAAAATTGCAAAAATACTTCAATTAGTGTTTTATAATACTAATAGAATGACATTTGTACAAAAACTTATACAAATATAATGATATTTTTAATGATAAATACAATAACGCAAAATATAAATATGGCTTTTAGATGCAGACGAACGAAGTATTATTTATTATGAAAAAGATAAAATACAAAGAGTCTTGTCCCACATAAGAAGACAAGATAAACCTTAATTTCCTTAAATATATTGTGATATCATTTATTGTAAATGGGCTTATTGAGATTGGATAGGCTTGGGCATTGGGTTTGGGCTTGGCATAACTTTGGGTTCAGCCCAAATTGAATTAGCAGTTATTTAATTAAAATTTGTATTTTATTTGATTAATTAATTTTGACTTAGTAAAATCTAGTTCGGATCGTTGTGGAATTAAAGATTCCTATTCGATCTGTATACACTGGAAAGCAATCGGTGGCGGCCCGTATTTTTTCCAATGAGATTGAGTGCAACGCGAGGCTCGAATTTAGGTATTATTAAATTTGCAATTTCAGATTTGTTGGATCTCAGATTTTCGTAAAAAAATAAAAATAAAAAAATACAACACGATATTTAGGGCAAATAGCACAATAATAATCAAAGAAAAAGACAGCGCAAACAAATTATATCGATTTCAACATTATTCTACAAAATTCAAAAGAAGAAAATTTCAAGAGATAAAAGAAATAAAAGCATAAATTTTATGGATGAAGATGTGTGTTCCTCTTTTGCTTCTTTAATGGCCAAAAATATATTTTGTCATTCCGTAACGCTCGCATTTAACTCTCGGAAATGTTCATTAATTATTGCATTCACTTAGGGCTACTACCTCATTTTTAATTAACCGATTAATGACTGCTACTTTCACCGCATAATTGATCGATCAAGTTGATTTGATACGGTCGATTAATATTCTTCATTTTGGCGATCTGCTATTGTCAATAGAATTTATTTTTGTGTGACAATAAAATGTTAACACGTTTATTGTAACGGGCTTTAGTAAATTCGGTGGCCTTGCATTGTTTGAATGTTACTTAACCTTTCGGGTATGTCCGATGTATTTATATCTTATTCTTTTTCGAAAAAATTAAAGTATATATAAATAGAAAAAAGATTTATATCTTATTCTTTTTCGAAAAAATTAAAGTATATATAAATAGAAAAAATAAGTAATTATTATGAAAGCATGAATCGATTACAATAAAGAATTCATACAATAAAATCGATGATGTCCTCAAATCTCAATATATATATATATATGTAAGATAAATATGCAAATGATGACTACCCCAAGTAGGGTGGGGTGGGGTGGGGTGGGGTCACCTAATAGAGAAATGTGACACCCAAAATAAATAAAAAAGCTGCTGGCATTCCCATCCAAGATGAAACCCTAATTCCACCATTGCCATCTCCTCCACCTCTAGTTGCTGTATTATATATATATATATATATATAAAAGATTATACAAAAATTAATTATTTCAAAAATAAATAATATATATATTTCATTCATAGTTAATTATTAATATATTTATGTTACTATATATAGAAGTAACAAAATACATTTACATTTATATATTCCATTTAAAATTATCATCAATCAATGCACTATTCTAATTTACTATTTTTTGTTGATGCTAATTTAGTAAATATTATATGCATAGCTAATATTTTTATTTTTTTTTTCATTTCACCTAAAATTACAATCATATAATTTTTTAAATTAATTGTATCATTGAGGATATTTTAATCAATATATTTATTTATATTTTGAACAAAGAAAAAATTATTTTATACTTTCTCTGTTACCTAAATATATTCAAATTTTTTTATACGGATTTAAACATGAATATGTATCTTTTTACTTTCTTATAATAAAAAAATAAAATAAAAATTGATATGATCTTTTTACTAATTAAAAAAAATTAGAATATTTTTAAATTGACAGTAAAAGAAAATAAATTTAAATTTAAATAACGAAAAATGTACTACAAATTTCACGACCAATAATTTGACAAATTCGTTACTAGATTTTCATTAATTATTTATTAACTTAAAATATATTATGATTATTATTATTATTATTATTATTATTATTATTATTGATGCTACTCTGGCTGTGCCAACGAAGAAGGCACAGCTAAGTGGTCAACAGTCATTGCCACCACGAAAATAATAAAATAAAATAATTATTATTATTGGCACTAAAAACGCGTAAATTGACCGAGTCATCAATAATTTTAATAATCCATTAATTAGATTAAAAAATAAAAAATAATATTCTTTTCATCCCGAGCAAGCAAGATTGTCATTTGATTTTTATATTATTGTATTTTACATTAAAAGTAATTTTATATTTGAATAATTTACTCTAAAAATATTATTGTATTGGTATTATAAGAGATCAATAAACATATTTTTGTTTTTTTTATTTATATTAAATTTTGATATAATAATTAATATTTAAAGATCAAACATGCAAAAAGTCAATGGCAACCTTGCAACGGGACGGAGGGAGTACTTTTATTTTATAGTCCGTTCATTTGAACGAGAGGGGTTTTTTGGAATTTTGTAGTCGATTAAAAAGTAATACTAATACTACTTTATAAGTTAGTGAAAGTGTGTAAAAATTTTTGATATTTTTGTCCATTTTTTGTATAAAATAATTGTACGTATAATCATATATTTTTGGAATTTAAATAAAAGTTAAAATGTATTATGATATTAATGTATAATTACTTCTTTCTCAAATAAGAAATATATAGTACTTTAAAATAAGACAGACAAAAATTGTAAAAATGGTATTTTGAGTTGGAACAGAGAAAGTAATTTTGAATGAATATATATTTTATGTATTTATGTTACCTAAAAAATTTAAATTTAATTTTCCCCAAAATTAGTAAGCGAAAATTAATTAAGGTTTATTTTTAATTAGAGATAATTATTATTACCTGGAGGAGGCAATCCTGCTGAGGAATCTGGAGCTGGAGCTGTTCATCAAAATAACCCAAAATTAATTAAATATTTGCAACAAGAAATTAAGATCGGAAAATTATATTCCCTCCGTCCCATAACTATATATTCATTTATTTTTTTCACGAAATTTTAGAAATATTAGTATTATATTGAAATAAAATAGAAATAAAATAAAATGATTAAAATGACCTTATTAGTATTGTGTGATATAAAAGTAATGGTATTTATGTAATATATTGAAAATTACAAGAGTATTTGTAGTATTAGATAGATAGTATATTTACTAAAAAAAAAAAAAGACCAAAATAAAAAAAATAGATATTTTATTTTAGAACGTAGGAGTATCAATTAAATAAAGAATAATAATATTTCTGAATAAATAATAAATAAAGTATCACAGGTTTGAACATGTTGCATTAAATGATATGAAATTAATACACAAAAAGAAAAACGAGTAGTCAAACATAATGGGAAACCAAAATAAATTAATTAATTATATTTGAACGGCTCTGTAATGATAAATACTCCCACAGTTCCAAAAAATACGGGACTATTACTGTATATACGAGAATTTAGGTAAAGTATAATTAGTAAATAATTAAGAAATATATTAGTAAAAATAATTATTATTTAGTAAAAATAATTATAGATTAAAATTAACATAAGTAAATAGTATAATTAAAATTAAAAAAATTATAAAATTTAAAATTTAAAATGTGATTAAAGTGCATAATTATATTTCCAAAAATAAAAAGGACAAGTTATGTGGGACAGAGGGAGTACTTTCTTAAAATGTTTATATCTTTCAAACACATATTTTTAGGGTGTGTTTGTTTGGGGGATTGGATTTCCAATTCACTGTTCATCCCATTTTTTCCTTCAAAAATATCAAATCAAACACCTATTTTTCATTTTTTATATTATATTAAAAATCAATTTTACATTCAAAACATCACACCAACACCAATTTATATCACATTATACAACTATTCAAATTCAAAATTTTTACTATTCAAATCCCAACTCAAAATCCAAAACTCCGAACAAACACACCCTTAAGTTGTGACATAAAACATAATTCGTTAATATCTAATTATTATTTGATGAAAAAAATAAATATCCAAAAAAGAACAGGGCAAAAGACTATTCAAATAGACTAGTTATTCCATTCAGACCAAAAAAATAAAATAATAATAATAAATGTTAAAATACAAATAGAAAAAGACACTAAAGTGTGTTTGGATGTCTTGATAAAACATACCATGATGGAATAAATTTTTTTGTACGAAAAGGTGACTTAATGGTGAATTAATATGCCCTATCAAACATTAAAAAAAAATATATATATATATATACTCCATATGTTTCACTGAAAGATTGTCATTTTTTATTTTTTTATTCCAAAATAAAGTTATTATTTTCTAATTTGGTAATTGTACTATTTATTTAACATAATAAATATTCTTCCAACTTATACTATATTACACAAATGTCATTATTTTTATATTACACAATACTAATAGAGGTATTTTCGTCTTTTTTACTCTAATTTATTATAATATTAATATTTAAAAATCTATGTGAAAAAAAAAAAGTAAATGACAACTTTACGCCGGACGGACGGAGCATAAATATATATATATATATATATCAAATTATCAATTGGGTTTGGCCACATTTCCCAAAATATCTCACAGCCAAATACCTACCACAATCCAAACAATTAATTGCAAATTATTCATTAAAAAAAAATAATAAAATTGAAAACTATTGTTGAATTCATAATTTGGAAAATTGCCCAACATTTCATTAACCACCAATTATATGCTTATTGATTTAGTTTTATTTTTATTATGTAATTACTTTATTTCACATCTATATATTATAAAATATCATATCTAAACTTATATTATTCAAATAAAACAAACAAATAAATAAAGCAAATTTTTTTAAAAAAAACATTTGACTTGAAATAGTTATGTTTATACAAAAATAAATGTAAACTTATTAAGTAGAAAGACTGAATAATATTTTATAAAATAATAATATTTTATTTGTATTTTATAAAGAAAAAAATATCAAATTAGCTTCCACACTTTTGCTACTGACCAATTAAAAAAACAAAAAACAAACAAATGATCCATTTGAAATAGGCTGAAATGGTCTCTTTCTTTAAACCAATTTTATCAAATTTTATTATTTGGACTCGATATTTTTCAAAAAAAAAATAATTCCTCCATTTCATAACAAATCATCTATTTTTTCATTTTAGTTCATGTCAATAATAAAGTATCCATTTTTTATTAAGTAATTATACTATCTACCTAACATTACAAATAACCTTACAATTTACAATATATTACACAAATGTCATTACATTTATATCACACAATATTAATAAAGTTATTTTAGTCATTTCTACTTTATTAATATCAATAAAGTTATTTTAGTTATTTCTACTTTATTCCTATTATATCTCAATGTAATACTAATATTTTTAAAATACTGAACAAAAAATAAATGATTACATAGTTATGAGAGGATGAAGTATTATTTTAATATCAAATTCAAACTAAATTTTTTCAAACTCAATGAAAAAGAATAACACCCCTTTTAATAACTAAAATTGAACTAATTTGATAAACTAAGGGTGTGTTTGTTTTGGGGTTTAGATTTTGAGTTGAGATTTGAATAGTAAAAATTTTGAATTTGAATAGTTGTATGATGTGATATAAGTAGACGTTGATGTGATGTTTTGAGTGTAAAATTGATTTTTAGAATAACATAAAAAATAAAAAATAGGCGTTTGATTTGATGTTTTTTTAGAAAAAAAAAAAAAATACTGTATTTAAAATTCAATCCCTAAAACAATCAAACCCTAGTAGAGCGAGAAAAACAAAAAAAAAAAAAATGTAGAGAGAGAGAGGCGTACATCGGCAGGCGCTGGTGTCGGAGGAGATGTTGCAGTGTTGGGGGAGCTTGAGGGCCTGGGCGAGGTCGACGCCGGGGACGAGCTCCGGGTGGTTGACGAGGTTGCAGAGGCACGGCAGCTGCGTCGACACCACCTGCCTTATGGCGCCGCAGCATTCCGCCGACGGGTTCGACGAGTTCAGGTACGCCGCGCACGGCACCAGCTGCGCCGCGCAGTCATTCTGCCCCTCCGCCACCGCCGCCGCCGCCGTCACCACCGCCAACGCCAAAGCCCACCAATTATACGCCATTGAATTAATCTCTCAATTAATTTCAACGCTTTCTATTTCTTCGATGGATCGATCTGAATGAGCTAGCTGTCTCTCTCTCCCTCCTTTCTCTCTCTCTATATGTATATGTGTGTATATATATATATGTGTGTGTGTTTGCAAGGTATCTCTAGAAGGATTTTGTAATTTTGTCTTTCATTTTTTTTATTTTTTTAAGTTTAGTGTGTGAAAAGGAAAAGAATTTTGTCGATTTGGTGGGGGTGGTTGTGTGAATAAATATGTGTTAGTATTATACACTCGTTTCATTCAGAGAATAAATTTGTAAAAAAAAAAATAATAATAATAATAATAAAAAGTAGAGAATGAGAATTAATTATCTTTGTTTTGTAAAACACAAAATTCAATTGAAAAATATATATATAAAAAATACATAAAATAAATGATTAATCGAATAAAAAAGAATTTTAATTAGTGAGAATTTATAAAAAAATACTTTTGATGATTTTTTTAAAAAGAAATTATAAATTATATACGATGTTTTTAAGATTACGAGGGTGTTTGTGAAAGAACTTTTTGAAGAGTTTCAGTCAAAAAGCTAATTTAGGTGTTTGGTATTTTTGAGAAAACATTTTTTTGTCTAAAAAGTTAATTTCTGAAAACTCATATATCCATCATTTTGAAAGAACTTTTTCATTTTAATTCTGGTTGTTTCTTATTTACCCTTAAAATTTAATTATTTATTTTATACATATTAGTAATATATTTTTATAGCAGTATTTACTAATTATTTTTAATATATTTAATTTATTAAATTATATTTTTATTTTTGTAAATTTAAAATAATAGTTATTATTAATTATTACATATAAATTATTTTATTTGTAAAATATATAAATTTTTTAAATTAAATCAAATAAAAAAATAAAGATTATTAATTTATTTATATATATTAAAACAATAATTAATATAATAAAAATATATATATGAAAAATTTATTATTTTGTATTTTACATAATTTTAATAAAAAAAAATTATTTTTTTAATCTAAATAATAAAAATAAAAATAAATATTTTATAATATTTTTATAATTTTCAATAATTAATAACAAAAATTTTCATAAATTTAAAACCAAAATAAACAAAATTAAATATTTTTAAAAAAATAACATATCAATGTCCTTAATAATTATTTTATGTATAAACATCTAATGTCAAGCAGTTGTTTTACCAAACATTTTAATACAAATCGCTAATTGAATCAGCTAGTCAAACCAGATAATTGAATCAACTAACAGCTACCGGCTAATTGAATCAGCTAACAACTATAAGCTAATTGCCATATGTTATTACATTTTTTTCAAAAATAGTAAAAATTAAATTCTTGAATAATAAATATAATTTTTAAAAATTATAAAAATTAAATAGTACAAAAAATATTAAAAATAATAATAATGATACTACAACATTCATTTCTCTCGATACGAGACAAAATGAATCAGAGAAATAAAAATAATTTATTTGTCTCATGTCATTTATCTAACTCAAACAAACAAGATAAATAAATATTTTCATTTCTCTCTATATCGAACACCCCCTAAGTATATATTTATTTTTTAAAGAAATTTAAAAAATACTCCCTCCGTCCCATAACTAAGGGTTGATTGTGTCCGACACGGTATTTAAGGGTTATTGATATTATATTGGTAATGAGTAAAAAGTATGGGTAAAAGACTTTTTTGCCCTTGTGAGTGTATCAGTGTAAAAAGTAATGACAATTGTGTAATAATGAAAAAAGTAAGTGTAGTTTTATAGTGATATGATTATTTATAAAAAATGAGATTACTGTTTTTGGACGGACAAAAATGGTAAATAAGACTATTGTATTAGGACGGTAGGAGTATTATATTTTAATGATAATTAGTGATAGTTTTGTACGTAAGATGATCTTATTTTTATGATATGTTGAGTTATTGTAAGAGTATTGATATAAATAAGTATAAATGTAATACTAATTTTTTATTTTTTATTTTATAATATGAGAATGCGCTACCCGAAAGTGCGCACTGGGTAAACCTTTGACCGAATGTAATACCCTGCAAACTAGGTCCAACAAGACAAATCACACTAGGTGAATCATGTGTGACGGGTGAACTTGGAGGCATTGAGGTTTGAACCCATAACTTCACGGTCACAAGTTCACTTCCCACACCACCAGACCATCTCTTACGGAACACTTACTAAAAATGAAATACTCCCTCCGTTCCAGTTAGAGCTGTTAAATGAACCAAACCGTTCGTGAATTCAGCTCGATTTAACGCTGTTAAAGCTCATTCGCGAACGTTAACGAGCCGAGCTGAACAACATAAACAGACTCGTTGGTTAACGAACGAACCCAAGCTTTGTTCGCGAACATTCGCAAACATTCGATAAAATAATATATTTATTATAAATATATATATACACATATAAAGTTATAATTTATAAATAAATAAAATATCAATTTAAAATAAATAAATAATATAATTTTAATTTTTTTTAATTTATATATAAATTAAAAAAAGTGGGACAAACAAACTCGAACACTACGAACGAGCTCAAAAGCTTAACGAACGAACACGAACACTTAAAATTCGGCTTGGCTCGTTAACAGCTCTAGTCCCGATTACGGTGTCTTCTTTACTGTAAACACGAGAATTTATGAGATGTATAATTAATAAATAGTTAAGAATATATCAGTAAAAACAATTATTGTATTGTAAAAATAATTTTAAATTAATATTAAAATAACTAATTAGTCTAATTGAAATTTAAAAAATTGTAAATTAAAAAATTCATAAATGAGATTAAAGTATATAATATTGTTTTAAAAAAAAAAATAAGTGGAGCAAACGAAAATAAAAAAATAGTCATAGCAAGTGGGATGGAAGGAGTAAGTATTTTTTTATTTGGAGAACTAAAAATAACAAAATATATACTTAACAAATAGAAGGAAGGAATATATAAATAACAATGGTTACTGTGTTGATTGAAATTTTGTGTTAATTGAAATTCCAACATATTATTGACAACACATTGCAAAGAGGCAATCAATATACAATATTAATACAAATTTTATATGATTTGTTAAATAAAATCACATAATTGTGTTCTTTTTTATTATAATTTTGTTAAAAATCACTTATAAATTGTATTGTATTTGACTATGATATGTGCTATCCATTTTATATTAACATAGCACGAAATGTAATACATGAACGGGGAACACAAATTATAATTGATTTCAACATGATTTATAGTAAAAAATAGTAGGGTAAACTGTTTTTTTAGTCCCGTAACTGAACTCTCTTATCATTTTAGTTTCGTAAGTGGAGCCTATCGCAAACTAATCCCATAAGTGAAGAATTTTCGCTGTTTTAGTTCTCCGGCGCCGGAGATGCCCGCGTGGCTCGCCGGAGGTGATGTGTCCGCCAGGTGTCGCTGACCTGGCGGACACGTGGATTTTTTTATTTTATTTTTTTCATTTTTTAAAAACTTATTTTTAATTTATTTTAAATTTTATTTGTATTTTTTTTATTTGTTACAATTAAGAAAAATGAAAAAAAAAAAAAAAAAAAAAAAGAATCCACGTGTCCGCCAGGTGTCGCTGACCTGGCGGACACGTCACCTCCGGCGAGCCACGCGGGCGTCTCCGGCACCGAAGGACTAAAACAACGAAAATTTTTCACTTATGGGACTAGTTTGCAACATGCTCCACTTACAGGACTAAAATAATAAAGGGGTCCAATTACAGGATTAAAAAAACAGTTTATCCAAAATAGTAATATTCTTTCCATTCGGCTTAAAGGATCTGATTCACCTTTTTCCGTCATTGTATCTAATATTAATTTTTTTTTTATATTTGTATATTTTTTTGCACAAATATTATTATAACAGTATTATAAAAGACACTAATAGAAGTATTTTTGTCATTTTATCTTAATCTATATTATATTTTTATATAGTAATTAATGTTCAAATATTAACATGCAAAAAGTAAATGAAACTCTTAGAACCGGACGAAGGTAGTACAATTTATAATAAAAGACAACATAACTATGTACTTTAATTTAAAACGATATGGGTTGGGTTTGATACGGGATTTAAAAAATATTGATATTATATTGGTAGTGGGTAAAAAATACGGATAAAAGAATTTTTTGTCTGTATTAATGTAAAAAAATAGTGACAATTGTGTAATAATAATAAAAAAAATAAGGATAATTTTATAGTGATATGATTATATATATTTTTGTAATAAATAAAGAATATAGTATGCCGTTTATAATTTGAAATATATAAGAGGTTTTTTTGATAAATTTATTTTTTTGCTAATACATGAGTCTAGAATTTGTTTAAATATTGGTATAGATATTACTTTCTTCGGTCATCTCTAATATTTATATTTATTTTTTTTAATGTAAATAAAAAATAATAGTATTTTAATAGTAGTAAGTAGATATAATAGTGTAAAGATTAAATTGCTCTAACTTTTTTATATAAGTATATAATAAAATAAGAATAAAATAATAAATAAATATTAAAAAAAATATTAGTGGTTAATGAAATCGTTGATAGTTACTTAAAAAAAAATATAAATTTTTAAATTGCACGTAATAAAATAAGTAAACATTCCAAGGGGACGAAAAAAATATAATTTATGTGAAAAATATGTTTATATTAAGATGTCGACCACTTTCGATATAATCAGATATATGTACACTTATTGTAATAAATTTTTAAATTTAGTATAATACTCCCTCCGTCCAGCTACAAAGTATACATATTTCTATTTTTGGACGTCCAATTACAAAGTAACTATTTCATTAAATACCCAATTTTTTTTCATAAATATCCTTACTTTACATCACATCATTACTTTTATACCAAAAAGTAAGCAAAAATGTCATTACACTACTTTTACATACCCATTATAATTAAAATACTATTATTTCTTAAACTCCGCGGGAAAAGTAAATGTATACTTATTGCTTGGACGGAGGGAGTATATAACAACAAATAATATACTCCCTCCGTCCCAATATAATAATTTTTTTTACTATTTTTGTCCGTCTCAGAATAATAGTCTTATTTCCATAAATAATCGTATCACCATAAAATTACTCTTACT